TAAAAGTTTTCTGGTTTACAATGGCCACCAGTTATTACAAGTTTCCTGGTTTACAGTGGGTGCCAGTTTTCACAAGTTTCTTGGTGTAAATGGGCGCCAGTTATTACAAGTTTCCTGGTTTACAATGGGCCCCAGTTTTTGAAAGTTTCTTGGTTTACAGTGGGTGCCAGTTTCACAAGTTTCTCGTTGTAAATGGGCGCCAGTTATTACAAGTTTCCTGGTTTACAATGGGCACCAGTTTTTAAAAGTTTCCTTGTTTACAGTGGGTGCCAGTTTTAACAAGTTTCCTTGTTTACAGTGGGTGCCAGTTTTAACAAGTTTCTCGGTGTAAATAGGTGCCAGTTATTACAAGTTTCCTGGTTTACAATGGGCGCCAGTTATTACAAGTTTCCTGGTTTACAATGGGCGCCAGTTATTACAAGTTTCCTGGTTTACAATGGGCGCCAGTTTTCACAAGTTTCTCAGTGTAAATAGGTGCCAGTTATTACAAGTTTCCTGGTTTACAATGGCCACCAGTTATTACAAGTTTCCTGGTTTACAGTGGGTGCCAGTTTTCACAAGTTTCTCGGTGTAAATGGGCGCCAGTTATTACAAGTTTCCTGGTTTACAACAGATACCAGTTTATACAACTCTCCTAGTTTACAATGGCCGTCATGAATCTGTACACATTTTCACATGCATACTGAAAGCTAAAATAATATTTTCAGCAAAAATAAATATAGCTGATATAAATTAGACTCTTGTAACAAAGTATCAACATTTATTTTATATTATTTCATAAATGTCTTCAGAAATCAATCATAGCACAAGTTTCAATCAGTGAAAGTTCTATAGTGTTTTATTATAGCAATAATATTGCATTATTGATGCAACAAATTTTATAAATGGTGAAGTATAAAACAATCAACCCTTTGTAAAATATTTTGAAGACTAATTTACAGTATGACTAGTCATGGTTTTATATCAATATATTTTAGTGAGTGACACTCAGTTGATGTATGGAACATTGTCAACAAAATAATGAGTGAAAGTTTATATATTGTTTACAAATTATCCTCCAATTACCTTCAGCCGCAGCACTTTGTTCTCTCTTCTTGAATTTTTTCTTTTTTCTTACCCCATTTTTGGATGCGGTAAAGCCAATACGACCTATCATTGCCAACTCGGCCCTAGCAATAAATAAATTATGACATTGAGGAAAACAAAGAGCTCAATCATACTTTCATGAATTCCTAACGATAAATTCGTGAGAGTATATGTGCTACAAAGTATAGGAAAACTTTAGATGGACTTCCAACTCAGGATGTAAATTTTGAGTACAGTGTATATCAAATGGACTTCTTGAGATTAATGTTATTTCATAACAAGATCTTCAGCATACATCACAACTAGTTGCAATTCCTTACCTTATAAATACTTGATTTGTTATTGTTCAAACATCAATATGCTCACAAAACAAGAAGCTCACACATTATCAGCATTGCTCTTATATGATACAAGAGTGTACCGATAGTCTCATTGACACTGAAGAGAATGGCTACTTTTGGAGAGAGGATGTCAAGGATAATGTGCATCAGAAATAGAAAGAGAAGAAAAGTACAGAAACTACATACCCATCCATTGATAGCTTTCTATTTAACGACAGCAATCCAAGAACATAAATATCCGGAAATATCCCATGTTCGCCGACAACTGTAACAGACTGAAAAAGCAGGGACATGTAGATGAATAAACTACCATTCAAAAATTGCAAATTTTATAAATGTAGTACAACTTAAATAAAATACACATGCAGAAAAAGGTTATAAAAGATTTTGATTCCTTGAATAAATGTGCATGAGTTGTTTTTTCCAATATTCGATCCATTTGACAACGTGCAAATTAAAAGTGCTGACTCAACATAAAAAAAAAATCTAAATGATAAATTAAGATGAGGGAAAAATTCCTTAGGGCCCCTTATGCATAACCCTGTTACGGTAATTCAGTGTCCATCCCTCATTTCACTTCGGGTTACTTATGCATGTATGTATGTCTATTGAACACCCACCAGCGCGAAAACTGCGCCCAAAAATATCTGACAAAAAAAAACGTACATAACTCTAGTGACAGCTATTTCCTTGAGGTCAAACGAGGACAAAATTACTTTGCCAGGAAGTGGTCGTCTGCTATTATTGGCTGTTTTGCATGGAATTCAAGTTTGCATAGAAAGACATTTATTTATACATTTCTCAAAACTGTGGGCAGTATACACATGCACCTGAAGTCACGGTTTTGGCTTTGGTGAGAGTTTAATAAACATTATCGATTGGCAATAGCATCGATTGTGTGATGCGAGAAAACGTTTGCTTTTGTCGACTTTTATTAGCTTTTTTATTTTGATAAAAGTCCTACTACCTGAACATTTAATGACACAAAATATATCAGAAATGACTAAAATACCATCAAAAGAAGAGCTGTGAACCCACAGCTAGGGTGAGGGGGTCTTAAGGAACTCTTTCCTATGATGTACTGTTTTTTGTGTCAACCCACCTGCTGAAAGCCTCGATGAATAGCCATGAATAGCAAAAATGTTGTAAGCAGGTGATTTGTTGAGCATTTTAACAAAAGGGTTCACAGGTAAGATACAATATGAATAGAAGACTTACGTCACACTTTGGACAGTGTATAGATTTTCTCTGCTTTCCTAATTTTGTGATACAACCTTCACAAAGGGTGTGACCACACTGTAGCAGTAATGGCAAACGTGGTCCATGTGGTCTTGATGGATCTGCAAAATAACAAGCTCATTTGAAGACTTGTGACCACCTGATGCATATTTTCAAGCAAACTAGTACAATACAAGCATTATGTGTCAGGTTTGGCAAGAGTTCAAAGTTTTTTGCAATGGTAAGTAATACTTTTTACTGAAAGCTGTGTTTGTCTATATTGCAGTTTGACAAAATGCATTGGTATACAGTGACTGTGATTATATGACTTCTAACCTGAGAATAGGAATTTAATGCCAAATAAACCTTAAGACTCTTGGAATTTTATCAATCTAGGAGGCAAATCAAATGAGACTTAACTTGCACAACAATTTAACCAAATTGTGCTAAATTATACAACATTTTTTACAGATAAATTAAGTTTCTGGTCAATAATAGTTAGTGTTTTGTTTAACAGAGTGCAAAAATTTGCTCTGCACCTACCCAATTTAGCTATAGCAGGTTTTGTAATGGTGTTTCAGTAAGCAGCCATTGACCCAATGAAAATACAGTCTTGATAATCTGTGTTATCTAGGAAGAGGATCGATCTTTTACACTTCATGTTTGTTTACATTGTGCCAATGTGTTGGCCGGTACATTAAAATTGCTACAGTGCATTTGAAACATATGTAAAATAATTTGTGTTTGTATGTGTGGTGGGTCCAGCGAAGTGACACAATTTTTCCTAACACATCAGAAAATAAATCTATAAAAGGGTCCTGTCATACTAACACAACTCCATGGATAGCCAAAATGTGTCAGTAGGCAAAGTGCTATTGCAGTCTTTATTAATTGCGCAAGAAATGGATTAAATAATTAAGGATTGTACAGTGTGGGGGGTCTAAATTAGGATTAGGGGTGGGATAGGTGTCTGTTATTTCAAAGATTTAGTGACGTTTCGGCAATGGTCTGGGGTTCAGTGTAGATGCTGTCTAATATCACAAGACTTGGGAAAAATCAACGACTAGTGAATCGGACTGGATGGATGTGGGCCGGCCTTACATTTGGATCAGTCGGCGTATGCGAGCTCCCATGATAGTGTACATGAAGACAGCCAATCAGTGATGACACAGAATTCTGTGCAGTCTTCATAGCGATTCTAAAGTGATCTGGAAAGGGCACTCTGAATGGCTGGCCATGATTTCCAGGATATTTGGGGTTTAGAATATTGTTAAAATAATTATTTACCAGTGTAAATCAATGGCGACGTGAACCATTGAAACTCTCAAACTCGCGTGACACTCTCATCCACACCTATGCCAAAAACAGTTTTTTTTTTTTTTTTTTTTTTTTTTTAAATTACAACACGTGTCAGTTATTTGTCTTCGTTTCGGTCTGTCAGGCAGACGATTTTCAACTTTGACTCATGTCTGGTCGTCCTACCACTAAGCCACAACACTTAAGGTTTCATTTGATGTCTACGTAAAACATCTGGGTTGCATTTGGGGTTTGGACTAGATACTGGATAACGAAATGTTCGTTGTAAGCGTACCACTACCAGTAAAGTTATTTATGGTCAGTTTACCTCGAATGCGAGTCGGAGCCGAGTAAGGAAGCTGAACTATTTTCTAGACTGAGAAGTGGACACGATCGATCCTGTACACGAACTTACCTTGTGTTCCGAAATTATGGCAGCAGTTAGGACAAGTCGGACTTCTTTGCATAATTCTTTGTGTTTGTATTCAAATAAAAATGAATGCTGGCATTACTTAACTAATCTGGTCACCAAATTACGCTAAAAATAGCAGTCTCTTTTCGCCATCATAAACTCACTTAGCTCCAACGTGCGCATGACACTCGTGTGCGACAGCATCTTCGGTAAACTTCGGCAACCATCGGCGAAATAAATTATTTTCTGGTTTTAATAACACGTATGCGTTTATTATTTTAGTTATTTGTGATATTGTTTCCGAACCAACGATCTCAGACAAACTATTTCCATCAACTGTACAACAGTTCGTAAAGCGGCGGGCATTTATTTTTCGATTCGCACTAACATCGACGAGTAGACCCGGCGAGGGCGCTCTTGTTGGCATTAGGGGCTTGTATTGTCACTGCATGATTCGTTATCAGATACTAGTATTGTAGAGAGCATATTTATTTCTCTCAGATAAAACATTCTTGTCGTAAATAATGAAATCGTCCTGAAAAAAAAGTTCTGTATCATTTCCCAAGTTGTGTTCGGTTGCACATGATGGAAAAACATAAGTGGTCTGAGGTTACTTATAAGATGCTTGACGCAAATTATTGGAAAATTCAAATGATTTCTATTTTTTTTTATTTATTAAATAATGCTTTAACATGCATTTCATTGTAAATTGTTTCAAAATGTATATCTTTTTCCATTTTTTCAGGCAGTTTATTCTTTTAAAAAAATGCCAATTATTGACATGTGTTCAAATTAATGACTATGTAACATTTTTGAAACAAACTTGAAAAAATCTGATAAATTTGTCCCCTCTATTTATTACGTCGAATAT